CAGTTTAGGGTGCATGGTAATGAGAAAAGGCAGGTTGTAGGGGGTGAGTTGGAGGAGTTGTGAGTAGGGCAGAGGGAATTGGAGAGATGGTTAGGTCAGAGATGTGCGTTGAGTAGTGGTTGCTGTCATGAGCGGGATTGAGTTGCTGTCATGAGCGGGATTGAGAGTACGGTTGTAATGTCCAGGGCCTCACTAAGATGGACTGGTACATTGTCAGAGGGTTGGTCTGCCGGCATGAGGTTCGGAGACGTGGACTGAGTATTTTTTTGACACTGGTACCTCTTAGCTCAAGGGCCAGGCAAAAGGAGAGCATGTTTGTTTTGGACTGAGTATTGTTTTGACACTGGTTCCTCTTAGTTCAAGGGCCAGGCAAAGGAGAGCATGTTGGAGATGGACTGAGTATTTTTTTTTTGACACTGGTTCCTCTTAGCTCAAGGGCCAGGCAAAAGGAGAGCATGTTTGTTTTGGACTGTGTATTTTTTTTTGACACTGGTTCCTCTTAGTTCAAGGGCCAGGCCAAAGGAGAGCATGTTTGTTTTGGGCTGGTATTAATTTTGACATTGGTTCTCTAGTTAAGGGCCAGGTAAAAGGGGAGCGTGATGTTCTGGTTGGATTGAGTTGGGCTAGGAAGAAATGGAGTTGCTAGCTGCGAGTGGAATAGTACAGAGTTGAAGGTGGGTTCTAAGTTGTTCTCTCAGCACATGAGGGCAGTGCTGTCTTTTTTAGGGGGGTCGAGTGTTAGCGGGAGAGAAAAGGAGAGAAGAGAAGACGGGAATGCTGCATTTAGCAAAAGGGGTGAGGTGCAGTCCTTAGAACAAAATTTTAGGGGGGTCGTATGCATGTTTTCTCAGCACATGAGGACAGTGCTGTCTTTTTTTTAGGGGGGTCGATTGTGATATCCAGAAATTTCAGAGTAATTTCAAATGCCCCGCCATGAGTGATACTGAGCGTTCAAGGTCATCTGAGGGGAGGGAGCGCTGCCTGCTCGTAGCGAGAGATTGCGGAACTAGGCCTATATGATATTAAATGTGATTTACTGAATTAATAATGATGCGATTCATGAAGTTAAGGGACTATTATTGAATTTGAAATTATTATAGATCGTTTAGCAGTCTGAATAATGTTACGGGTGTCCCAAGGAGTTATTAGTTAGGCGGTAAATATATCACGTAGGCCCAAGCTAGCGCCTTGGGGAGACGCGATGCTGGCTAGGCCAGTTCCGGAGAGCATTCACACAGACAAGACGTTCCGCGCGTCCATCAGAAATAGTCACGTGGCCTAGTCACCTGTGCTGCGCTATTGCAGTATAACAAGTAAGTCTCATTCGATCTCAGACAGGGTTAGATAGGGCAGTGATAAAGTAAACTAGAGCTAACAGTGAGTTCATTTCAGGGTTTCCGTCAGAACCCACTTGATTGGAGTTGACTGGAGTTGACTGGAGTTGACTGGAGTTGACCGGAGTTGACCGGAGTTTGACTGCGAGAGATTGACTGCCGTTTGAGACTGCCGTTGATGATTGAGGGTGGCGACTGTCGCCATTGGACCGATCAGAGTAGGCCTGTCACTGTTTAGCGGGGTACCAAAGGATCTCTTGAGGGAATCTAGCCGTCTGGGTGCCCAGCGGACGTCGGCTCACAACACCACATGTCCAGAGCCGCTTAGTGAAACCCTCTTGCTAACGGGAAGCTAAAGCTCCTCTCAACTGCACAGGGTCTGATTGGCTCACTCTCTTCCTGCCTATGGACGCACTGGGAGTACACTGGGGCTATCTGAGTATATTAATGGTCACACACTGAGACCGTGAGTCTAGGATTCTAGGAGATACCTAGAGGAACATTTTATCTTCCTTATTACGGGTGTAGTTAACACCATTCCTCAGACTGATATTATCTTGACGTGTGTAGTTTAATATTTCTTAAATAATTTTGATAGTAGTGTTTTTTTGAATGTTTGTGCCATTAAGTGGAACCAGAGTGATACTGTGATTTGATTCTTTTAATGCCTCTAATTGTTCTTCATAATTCTGATCTCAGGTATAACCTTGTTCCCCAGAGTAGTGGTTAGGTTAGGTTAGGAAGTGTACATCTGTTGGGGTGCTATAATTTTGTTGAAAGCCCTTAAGGCCTATTCATTGTAGAGTAGTTAATTTCTTATTTTTTAATACCATTTCCTAAGTGACTGATATTATTTTGTGAAAGCCCTTAAGAGGCCTGTTTCATGTGTGCAAGCAACATTTCTTAATATTTCAAATTTATTGTTGCCTGTGTTTCTAATAATTTCTATGTCATTTATAACTTTTATTCCCCAGAGTAGTATTTTAAGTTTAAGTTAAGAGGTGCGCATATTGGTGTACCATTATTTGATTGTGTTTGTAGTGTTGGAGGGAATATAAGTGTCTAAATTTTACAGTGTGTCTCATTCATCCCAGTCACAGACGCTATCCTTCCACGGGTCACGGACAGTTCATTTTGTGTAGTAGATTTAAGTGTTCTTGTGCTGGTTCGGGATTTTTCTACAAGGGGCGCTTCCACTGCCTTTACCATCTATTAAATTTTAATAAACCCCAAGTCAAGTGAGAAATTAAAGTCCAGCAAATTCCGACTGGTTACATATATATATATATATATATATATATATATATATATATATATATATATATATATATATATATATATATATATATATATATATATATATATATATATATATATATATATATATATATATCACAATAAGATAACTGAAAATTTTAGAATATTATTAGCAATGATCTAAGATATGGAAATTAATGAAAGGGAGACTAAGAATACCTCTAGTTCTGGAAACACTTTCGTACCCCAGTATAGTGAAATATACTCCACAATGCAATCTGTGTTTATCACACTACATATCTTTTATGTGAGCATCATTGTCATTTTGTCCAAAATAAGTAATCCCGTTAACATAAGAACATAAGAAAATAAGGAGTCTGCAATAGGCCGGTTGGCCTGTGCATGGCAGCTCCTGTCGAGAGTTACTACCACTCTCTATCATCCATGAATCTATCTAGCCTCCTTTTGAAACTTTCCAGAGTTCCCGCACTTACTACAAAGTTGCTATGCTTGTTCCACTCGTCCACCACCCTATTTGTGAACCAGTTTCTTCCTATCTCCCTCCTAAACCTAAACTTATCCAACTTGAATCCGTTGCTCCGAGTCCTATCCTGCTCGGATATTATAAGAACTTTATCTATATCCCCTTTAATGATTCCTTTCACCCACTTAAACACTTCTATCATATCTCCCCGCACTCTTCGTCTTTCTAGGGAATGCAAGTTAAGTTTCTTTAACCTATCCTGATATGGAAGGTTTCTAAGTCCCTGAATCATTTTTGTCATTCTTCGCTGCACCAACTCTAGTGAATTTATATCCATTCTATAATAGGGGCACCAGAACTGAACCGCATAATCGAGGTGCGGCCTAACTAGCGCAAGATATAGTTGCAATAAGACCTCTGCACTCTTGTTACTTACACTTCTAGATATAAAACCCAAAACTCTGTTTGCCATATTTCGAACATTAACGCACTGTTTTCTAGGCCGTAGGTCCGGGCTTACAAGTACCCCTAGGTCTCTTTCACAAGTCGACTTCTCTAGGTTGATGTTGTTCAGGCTGTATACATTATAAGTATATGTTCTTCCAATATTAAGTACGCTGCACTTGCTGGTGTTGAATTTCATTTGCCATTTTTCAGACCACCCCTGCAGTTTATTTAGATCCTCCTGTAATGCATTTGCATCCTGCCCTGAATTAATTTGCCGCCCTATTTTGGTGTCATCTGCAAACTTGCTTATGTCACTGCTGATCCCAGTATCTAAATCATTTATGTAGATTATGAACAAGAGTGGGCCTAGTACTGACCCCTGGGGAACCCCACTGGTTACACGGCCTCACTCAGATTTAACACCATCTACGCTGACCCTCTGCGTTCTATCGGTGAGCCATGATTTTATCCAATTTAAAACTTTCCCCTCGATAATATGAGCCTTAATTTTTCTCAGAAGCCTCTGATGCGGTACTCTGTCAAATACTTTGCTAAAGTCTAAGTAAAAAACATCGTAATTTTCGTCATTATCTACTACCTCGAAGACTTTCCTAAAAAACGTTAGCAGATTTGTTAGACAAGATTTTCCCTTTGTAAACCCATGTTGAGAGTCGTAGATTAATTTGCTTTTCTCTAGATGCGATCGGATGCTATCTGCTATAATTGATTCAAGAAATTTCCCCACTACTGACGTCAAACTGATCGGTCGGTAATTTGACGCTGATGCTCTGTCTCCCTTTTTAAATATGGGTACTACATTCGCCTGTTTCCACAACTCTGGCACAACTCCAATGTCTAATGATTTTGTAAATAAATTTACGAGGGGTCCGCTAATCTGTTTCCTACACTCTTTTAAGACTCGAGGAAAAATTTCATCCGGCCCTGGGGATTTTGTGTTCTTTAGTTTATTTATCTTCTTAAGAACATCCTCTTTTCTGATTGTGATATTCTTTAATTTCTCTTCTTCCTTTCCCTTAAATATCAGTTCCACCTCCGGAATTTCATCGCAAATTTCTTCTGTGAAAACTGATAAGAAGTAGCTGTTCAATGCTTTGGTCATGTCTTCACTGCCATTTATCAATTCTCCCCTCCCTGACTTTAAAGGCCCAACTTTGTCCTTGACCTTTGTCCTATATACCTGGAAAAATCCCTTGGGATTCGCCTTGGATTCTCTTGCTATTTTGATTTCATAGTCTCTCTTTGCTTTCCTTACAAATTTCTTAACATTCCTAGATAGTTCATTATACCTGTTTCTGAGCTGCTCCTCCCCTCCCTTTAATTTCTTATATATTCCTTTCTTTATTCCTATGTCATGTTTAAGTTTTCTGGTCATCCACCTTGGCTCATTCTTCCACCTTGGCTCATTCTAAGGTTCAAAAGTAATGTTCCCAAATGATGATGTAAAATACTAATATTAATATTAAATATTTTTCAGATTACGACAAAGCCTTACTCCAGGAGGTATACCCATCCCACTACCCAATGTGTATGACATGACGGGGCTGCAGCCTGACGGCAACAACACTTCTGGGGGTGGAATTGAGCCTTACTACTCCATACATTCTCGTCGTAGCACTCGCAGTAAATATGCTTAAGAAAAAACGATAATGCACATGAACATACAAAGGGATTATATAAAAGTTTCATAAATCTAAGAGTGTAATCATGACACATAAATAAGGGTGAAATACTGTATAAGACTCCATGAACATAGTTTCAGAGTTATAGCACAATAGATAAGGGGATAAAGCAGCTTGATGTGGGGAGCGATACTCGAGGCGCACTCAGCGAGACACCACTAAGTATAGGAAGACTTGCAAGTGAAATGAGCCAGTACCAACCACCCCATTAAAACGTGCTTGATTTTTAAATAAAATGCACCAACAACATTGGATATTTCATTTTCCCTCCGTAAATTTCCTCACTTTTCAACCTTGTCATTCACGTTGTAACTCTGAAATTATATTATAATTAAAACCTTTGTATATGTATGTATTATACCCATTACTTGTCCAGACAATAAAAGAAAACATTTGTGGTGATAAATTGGCAACTTTCCCTTAATCATTACAGAAATTGTTCCTTGTGGCAGTGACAACACTCTCGTCTCTGGTGAAGAGCTCATCTTCCAGTCTGAGAACTACCCAGATAATTATCCCAATAGCCATACGTGTAGCTGGAGTTTTACGGTGTGTCTTATATTTTTTCTAATGTTGCGCTCTAAATGATATGAGTGAGACTAAACTCGTTTGAAGGTTACAGTCCTATATTTATTCTGGGTAATTGTTGGGATTTACCATAAAATGCCTTAAGATTGATCAAGAAAAATATCGTGACCTTGTTTTGCCATAAAGCTTACTGTATTTGCTCAAGTCATCTACTGTATTTGCTCAATTCATCTACTGTATTTGCTCAATTCATCTACCTCGCTTCTCAGGCTTGACATCATCATAGGGCCCTAAACCCCATTCTCAACTGATATCCATATTAATTAAATTAACTTATAAAGTTGCCTTAGTTCAGTTACAGGACAAATGTTTGTTTAAACAACTTTACATGACGTAAATTTACAGGTGTATTACAAATTGAAGGTAATAACTCCGTGACGACTGACCTCGATGTTCGTCATCTTCATCTTCGTCGTCAAACCTTTACTGCCATTTCGCGAGCTTTCGTGGGTTAGCCGTACGGTTACCTGATGGCTGCTCTCTATGTACCACGGCACCTTGCAGTTTCTCTTTTCAGGTTTTAATCCCAAATGTAATTTCTTGCAATTCTCACTATGGCTCGCCCCTGGCTATCCCCCACCCCCCTTCCACATTTGGACTCATGCGTCTCATGACCCATTCGGTCTTATCTATTCTGTCCACATGCCCAAACTATCTCAGCCTGCCTTCTATGCAAAACTTTGCCAGTACGCCCAATACCCAGCCACCCTCTTGGTCCTGAACAGAACCTCCAGTCCTTCAGTGTCACATAATACATCCACTCATATCAGTTTGATCAAGCCTGCTGATGTCATGTACTTTAACTGCCCATATTTCACTGCTATACAACATCCCATTTTCACATCCTGCTTTTCATGCTGTAAGTGGGTCTTCGGAGATGTTTACATTCCTTTACATATGTATGAGTATGTCAGCATACATGTATACATTGCTCTCCATATACGTATATGTACGTCGATCAAAAAATTATGTGTACCTAGGAGTCGATGAATATCAGAATGAGCACTGCGATTCCTGTTGTCTAACACAATTTTGTGAGGATAGGTGTACGTACAGTACAATACATGTATCAGCATACATTAGATTCTGCGCTGTGACATCTTTGACTTGGTAAATATCCAAGAGGTGAGATTTACCTTGAACTTTAATCTTTATGTCATACTTTATTGAATCCTTTACAAGTACTGTATGATTGTCCAACAGAATGCCGATCAAAATGCAAAGCTTATTGTGGTTTGCGATCCGTTCTCTACCCAAAAGAACAAGGATAACTTGATGTTCGAAGAATCTGGCGGACCAAGTAATGTGGCAGAGCTCCCAAAGTAAGTATCGCAAAATTTCTAGATGATGAAATTTAAAAGATTAAATTATAGCTGTTTCTAAAAATAAAAACAATAAAATATTTGCCCACACAAAAAAATAAAAATAAATAAATAAATAGATAAATAAATAAATAAGTAAATAAAATAAATTACATTTTAACATAACAGTTAATAATTTTCCTGACAGAGTAAGTGGAGGGTACGACAGTTTTACGGTCAAGACTACCACGAACAGCTTGACTGTCACTTTTACGACAAGTAGGAAAGATGCCTTTACGGGCTTCAGCTGCACCGTTGCGAGTACAGGTGAGTGTATATTGTCTTCAGTGTGACTATTACCATGGGTGTATATCGTCTCCAGTGTGACTATTACCATGGGTGTATATCGTCTCTAGTGTTGACTACTACCATGGGTGTATATCGTCTCCAGTGTCGACTACCACCATGGGTGTATATCGTCTCCAGTGTTGACTACCACCATGGGTGTATATCGTCTCCAGTGTGACTACTACCATGGGTGTACTGTATATCGTCTCCAGTGTTGACTACTAGCATGGGTGTATATCGTTTCCAGTGTTGACTACTACCATGGGTGTATATCGTCTCCAGTGTCGACTACCACCATGGGTGTATATCGTCTCCAGTGTTGACTACCACCATGGGTGTATATCGTCTCCAGTGTGACTACTACCATGGGTGTACTGTATATCGTCTCCAGTGTTGACTACTAGCATGGGTGTATATCGTTTCCAGTGTTGA